TTTTGTTACCCGACCCCAAGGTAACTGGTAAGGTGATCTGACCTTCCGCTTCTATGCTAGCTCCAGTGAAGCCTGACAATGGAGTTTGCAACGGTCTCAACATGGACCTGTCCAGCTTCAATTTCTTGAAAGCATCCAAGTATAGAACATTGACACTGCTTCCTGTGTCAACCAGGACCCTGGCCACATCTGCTCCATTGATATCCATTGTAATAACCAAAGGGTCATTATGATCTCCCCCCGTCCTGGGCAGATCCCTATCAGTGAAAGTGATAGGTTCCCTCCTTGCCTGCTTCCCATGTGACTCCAGGGAAACCACCGCCACGTGCAAACTCTTGGCCCAGTTCTTCCGCTGGGAGGCAGTGTCCCCGCCTTCTAGGCCGCCGACAATCATCTGTATGAATTCTTTATCCGGATTGTTGTTATCCTTCCCGGATTTTCTCCTTCCCAGGTCTTTTCCTTGATGACGGGTCCAGGTGTTCGCTTTCGGGTCCTTCTTATTACCCGTCGCGTAACCTTCCCAAGCTCCCCTTTCAAGGCCATCTCCTTAAGCACAGCCTTGACATTTCGGCAATCCGCCGTGTTGTGGGAATCGGATTGGTGGTATGTGCACCACTTCTCCCTCTCAAGGATGAGAAGAAGAGCAGGCATTCCTCAGCATCAGTGCACCCGGCCATCTGTGCTGCATTGTGGAAGGTGTCAAGGTGGACGTTTGGATCCTCCTTTCCAGTGAATTTTTCCACTTCCAGCTTGACCTTACGCCTCAATTTTTGTGCATGTACCCTGGCCGAAAAGGGTGATTTGGCCAGGGTGTGCTTCTTTGCTCCCGCCTTCTCGTCCACCTTTTCTTCCAGGGCACGTAGCTTTCTTGCTACGCTTCCTATCTTGTCCAGATCATCCTCATCATATGAGAGCCTGGTATATGCCGACGCCCTGGGCTGGCTTTCTGCTTCCTCCTCGTCTTGGCGAATCGTCTCAGATTCCCTAGAACGACGAGATTGGGCGTGACGACTCCCGCCAAGTCTTTCCATCGCGCTAGTCCAGCCCATTTCAGGACCAAGACGTAGTTTGGCAGACTTGCGAGGTCCATCCTCTTTGTCCCCTAGGCGTTTGAAAGCCGAATCTCGGGTCTTGCTGGGTTTGGCTATAGCCTTACCCTTCCTCCTGCGGGCCACCTCTTGCTCCGCCTCATCGACCTCATGGACATTTGAGGGTGCTGCTTCATTCATGGTCCCCGTCAAATTCACCGGATGTATAGGGACCATCCTAGGGACAAATGTCGACGGGGTCAACACCGGAGGTGGCATGATTGGTGGCGTCATGCCGGGATAGGCAAATGGCATGAAGCCACCTGCCTGTTGCATCATGGCCATCACCTGTTGATAGCCCTGTAGAGCCTGAGCATTTGCCGGGTCAGCAGCAAATTGAGCCCAAGCTGACGGGTATGGTGTGAATGCTCCACCAGGTGTTGTTATTGAGCCTGGGAACATTGTTGTTGTCGGCGTAGGAGTAGGGGTTGACATGATTGGGATCATGCCAATCGATCCTACAGTGGTGATCGGAGCAAAGGTCGTCCCCATGCTCGACATCATCAATGGGATGGCAGGAGTGCTTTCACTCGCAGCCTGACTTGACACAGCATTGTAGTTGCTCGAAGACATGATTGTGGATATTTAGTGGGGGCAAAGTTTTAGCCTGGTCGAAAAAACTTTAAAAATCGGTCCCACGGATGGCGCCAAAAATGATGGTGTAAATATAGCGGGGTGGGTTAACCGGGTTTGACCTGGACACACTCGACCCGTAATATAAAACACACAACAAGAACACAAAATGTGACCTAGACCGGGTAAATCTCCTCAGTCCGAATTATATTTCTTACTCTATCTCAAGAGTGAACTTTAGTGAGAGAAAAACTGGATCCCCTCCTCTATCAAATATCATCATATTTATAGAGGAGGATTTGTGACCCTCCCCTGTTCATCCATGGACAAAATAGGAAGCTCGTGGGAAGGTCACTGTAGATAATGGAAGTAGTGTACAATCATAGAATTTAGCAACTATAAGCCAAGACTTGTACTGTTCAATCAAAGACTAAAATGGATATTCTCAATCCAATCAACCCTGCAAAATGACAAACATCCCTTTCACTGTGTGCCTCGTGATGGATGAGCGGCGGGGTGTCCCCTTGACCTCTGACGTGGTTCACCATGCCTAAGAGACTGAACCAATGTTAGCCAAGTAAAGTGATATGACCGGTCACCTTCTCTCAAAAGTTACCCGGTCATTCTTTGTGCTCAACCCGTCTCTGGTCTTCTAGAATGTCCTTTGTAACATTAGGCGACATTTTGGCTATCGCCCAAAATGTGACCGGTCACTTTTTTAGTGGAAGTGACCGGTCAACTTTTGACCCGTCCCAATCGAAGAGTTAACCTCATTTGGTGATTGATAAAAGTGACCGGTCATATTTTGACCTGTCCCTTTCGGTTGTCCGGGTCGGGTATAAGGATATACCCATCA